ACACTGCTCCCCCTTTACATAATGATGTCTCCCTTTTTATCTGGTACTGTATGCCCAAAGCATCCTATAATGCTTGTTTTCTGTTACCTCCTGATGACCAGTCATGGAACAAAAACAAGCTAATTTACCTCATGCACAAAGGTTTCTCATAGGATTAACAGACATTTTAACCACTTATGGGTCTCTGCTTCTGATTACCTCCCAACTGTATCATCCAGTTTGACCCTTAATCTTAAGGGGCGAAATCATTGAGTGAAAATCCTGGAAATCAGTGTACCCTTATAAGCGAGAAAGCAAGACAGCTCTCCAATTGTATATAACAATGTTGATCTTTCTGTAAATGAGTGAGCAAAAAGAGGAGTCAACTGCAAGATTGTTAGAAAGCAGTGATACTCTGTAGCAGACAACAATACTGTCTCATTTTAGGCTTTTAACAATGCATGCAACATAAGGGAAACAAACATATTGCCTTTTGAAGAGCTTTCTGCAATTATTGTGCCTTTTAGATTTTTCTGTGGTAAGAAAAGCAGTGGGCGTGGGACACAGGTGGGTTATACATGGGAGACACTGTCATCTACACACCCACATACAATCCATGGTTGAGCCAGGGTAAAAGGTAAAGGTAAAGGTTCCCCTTGACAATTGTTGTCCAGTCGTGTTCGACTCTAGGGGGCGGTGCTCATCCCCGTTTCCAAGCCCTAGAGCCAGTGTTTGTCCGAAGACAATCTTCCGTGGTCACATGGCCAGTGCGACGTAGACACGGAACGCTGTTACCTTCCCACCGAGATGGTACCTATTTATCTACTTGCATTTGCATGCTTTCGAACCGCTAGGTTGGCGGGAGCTGGGACAAGCAACGGGAGCTCACTCCATCGCGTGGATTCGCTCTTATGACTGCTTGGTCTTCTGACCCTGCAGCACAGGCTTCTGCGGTTTAGCCCACAGCGCCACCACGTCCCAGGGTAAATGCACAATAAAAGCTTCATCTGGAACTACTCCAGATCATAAATGTAGTCTTGCAAAGGATTGTTCTTTCCCTTCATTCATATTGGTGGCCTAGTGACCGGTGTGTCACCTACAGAATGTCTTTACATTGAGTGCTGAATTTCTAATATGTGAATTACCAAGGCTGAGAACTCATTCAATTTAATTTAAAAGCTCCTCCCCTTAATTTGGTGTATGTGTGTGTGACCAGGACAGTTGTGATTTTTTTGATCCCAGGCTAAGAAAGATGATGAAGGACGCAAAGAATGGCCACGGTTTTGAAAGAGGTTTGAAATGGTTCCTGCAAGCTAACATTGGGCAGGTGCAATCCCCTCCCTTTGTAATAAGGAAACTTCACCATCCCATCCTACAGAACAGGCTGAATGAAGTTTATCTATAAACTCATCGAAGATACGATCGAGTGGGAGGCGGGGGAAGAGAGGAGCGCGATTCTTTCCAAAACGACAAAGGGCGCTGGATTAAAGAGAAGGGTGACTCCTGCCGTCCTCAGCAAAAAGGTGCGAACCCCAGAAAGGTAAGCAGAAGTTTAAAAAAAAACTGCAAAGCAACCACACGAGCCCCTTCAGCAGTGGGTTCACTCGCCGGGAGAAGGCCGGCCTTTCTCCCTTTCCAGACACGATCAGAGGCATTTGTGACGAGGCAGTATAGCAGCAGGCATAACTGAAGGGGCTTGCGGGTCTCGGACAACCCCGGAGGCAGGCCTCGCCTTTCACCCTGCCTGCCTGCCTGCCTCTCTTTCTCTCACCCGAGCCCCACAGCCATTATTCCCCACCATGCATTGCGCCCAGAGAGGTGGTGGGGGGGGAAAGCCCTGCCCGATCTCTTCCCTCGCTTCCTCCCGAGGCCGAGGAGACTGCAGTGGGGGAGAAGGACGCGCAAACTGACCCGGGACTGCGAATCCCCGCCCCTTCTCCCAGACCCAGCAACTCGCCTGCCGCCCAGCCCGGTGGAGCCTTCGCCCCGCCCCTAGCGCTCTGATTAGCTGCCACCGAGAGTTTGCTCGACTTCCTCTCCTTGCCATTGGGCGGACTTTGTTTGTCGATCAGCAGCGCCCATCCCCTCCGATTGGAGGAGGCTGCCCTGTGGGCCGGCCGCGCTGTCAGTCAGGGAAACTGGTCAGGGAAGGAAGGAAAGAAGGAGGGGAGGGGAGGGAAGGAAACATCTGGCTGCCGCAGCCCGGGCCCGTCTGTGCCGCCGCCGCCGCCGCCGCCGCCGCGCGTGCTCCTGCGCTGCGTGCCGTGC